AATAATGATGGCTAATTCTAGCTATTGTTGAAAAAAATAAAAGCTCATTTCTGAGCACTACCTAAGTACAAGGTACTAGGTGCTTTGCATGCATTGACTCATTTAATCCTCAAGCAACCCAATGAAATGGGTATTCTTATTTATATCCCTTCCCCACGCCCAGGCACAGAGAGGTTAAGTAACTTGGCCCAGGTCACAGTGAGTACATGGTGGAGCCTCATGCTAGAACCTTCCCTCCTAACCACCATGTAGCATGTGTATGAGGGAAAGGAGAGATGGAAGTTGGCAGGGGTTGGGGGGTGGTTTATAAACGGGGACTCCAGAAGCTGAAAGGTGGGAAGCTGTGTGTTAAGGAGATTCTGGCTGGAGGGCAGGTGGGAAGGGTCTGCTGACTAGGCTGCTATGCTGGGGATCTGTGATGCCCTTCTGGGTCCTGGCTTTCTTACTCTCAGGGGCTCTCCCTCCTTCATTAAATCACCCACCTGGCACGTTAAATACAAGGGCATGTACAGCTCTGAGTGCAGGTGCAACTGAATCGTCTGCACAGTGTTACATGTCCTAAACCTTTAATCAAATATCTATTACTTCCAACTTTGCAGTTTTCTATTCCCCTCTTAGAGCCTGAAAAAGATTTTCTTTTTCAGATCTCGGGCATTTTATAAGTCCCTGGCAAAGTCAGAAGACTTAAGGACTGCCTTCTAGGCCTGGGTACTGGACTCAAAGAGAAAGCACTCACGCCGCACAGGGAAGGTTGGGGAGGAGTACAGGACGGTTTCGTCCCAGGAGGACTAAACTTACTGGCTTGCTCAACGAGCATCCAGAGGGTGCCTACTGTGCCCTGGGCGTTGAAAACACAATGGGGTGTGAAGCCGGGGCTGTGCCTGTGTTGGGCAGGGGTTGAGGAGGCTGCAGATTCCTGGGACACACGCTGGGTGGGCATGGGAAGGAAAGCTTCGGTGCCTTGGTTTAGCGTCTCCCACTTCGGAACTTTGCGCCACAGGATGCAGAGCCGGGAGCAGTGCACGCCTGGGTCCCGAGCTCAAGCCGCCCATCCTCGGGGCCCAGGGTACCCCAGCCATTGCCCCGCGCCTCTGAGCCCGGTAGGCGGTTTCCAGCAGGGGGAGCGCGCGAACCAGGCCTGGGCCAGAGACTTTGAATAGACAGAACCTGGGTAGCTGGTGCCGGGATCCGGGGGTTTTAACCTGCCCTACTCTCGGGACCGTGCAGGTCGGCAAGGTCGAAGTTAGAGGTCCACAAAAAGCTGCCCAGAGCTCCAGCTCTCCGCCCTGGGTGTATCTAGGGTCGGCACCCCAGCCTGGTCAAAAAGCCTTAGCCCGGATTCTGTAGTTTCCAAATCTGGGCCCTCCACGCTGGTGTCTTGGAACCTCATATCCCTGCTCTCCCCTACTTCCACACACCTAATTAGGTGTCAGTTTCTTTAACCATCAAAGGCTTGGGCGGCGGTGGGGGTGCTATCTTCGTTCCCGGTTCCCCAGCCCTTCAGTAACTGTACCATTATCAACATTACAGACATTAGAGGCCCCTGCGCGCCCGGCGGCGCCAGTCGAGATGCTCTCAGTCTTCTCCTAGCTGAGCTCGGAGGCTGATCCTGGAGTCGTACCTCCCATCCCAGACCTCGGCGGATTCTGCCCGGGGCGACTCGGGGTCTAGCCCTGCTAGGGCGGGCACTGATCTTTTCAGGGTCCAAGGCGGGGGTAAGGGTTGTCTTTCCCCCAGGGCAGGCTTGGGGAACAAAAGCGCTTGCTGGAGAGTGGGCGGGAGCTGCGGGGGTCCGCGGGAGTCGGCGCACTCGCCTGGGTGGCCACTGCGCCCTTAGTCGCCCTCCAGGCGCCCGATGCCCTGTCTCCCTGCAGAATTCCCCTGGCTTCTGCATCCCCTGTAAAAGAGCAAGGAAAGTGCGTCTTTCTTGGCTCTCGGGCCCCAAAGGTTCCCAGGAATCGGGCGGATGGGGTCCCTGTGATCCGGGAAGTTCTCCGCTGAGAGTGAGCGAGCTCATTTTTCCTTCCATTCCCCAGCCTCTGTCTTCCAGTCCTTCAACCCTTCCAAGTTATCCCCTGCTTGCCTCCCTGTACGCCTCCTAGCTGAAAGCAAAGAGAACCCCCCAGCACACAAAATAAAAAGAGGTGAAAAATGGGTGGAGGGTCCACAAGTCGCGCGCCTCCGTGCCAGAGCCTCGGTCACTGCCTTTACGCCGGACTCCCCTCCCCCCACCAGGGAAAGTCTCCAGGACCCCCATACAGGACCCTATTCTCTAACCTCGCTGCTGGGCCCCCGGCTCCCCAGATCCCTCTTCCTCGGCCAAGGATCCTCGAATTGCCCTTCAGGATGACCAAGACACGCGGACAACACACCCAGGACGCCCCCCTTGCTCCGCAGACAAAGAGTCTGTGCCAGGCCAGCCGGCCGCACCATTCCCCGGCCCAGTCAGGCCCAAACCGCCCGGACTCACTCCCGGACTAGGGACCTGCTCTCGTTGCCCCCACCGCATGGTCAAGATCCTCTTACTCCTCCTCCCTCCTCGAAGACACCTTCTCCCTCAGGGTGCCGCCGCACCCCTCCCCCGGGGCGTCTGTGGGAACTACAGGCACAGGCAGGTGGAATGAAGTTCTGGGTTCTGAATTATGGGTTGAGCGAGATGCGCTGGTCCCAGATGGCTGGGCTGCTTGTAGCTACCGCAGGAATAGGAGAGAGGGAAGGATGCGAAGTGTGTGTGTGCCAGCCTGTTCATATTTAATTTATATAGGCTCCTCGGAACCCCGATCGGGTGGTCTCTTTAGAGGCAGAGGTCCTCACCCGTCTCTCTCCCCCACCTCCCCAGCTCATTAAAATGCTCAACACTGAAATCGGAAGATTGATCTCAGAGGCCCCAAACCGACCCACCTCCAGAGACCGCCACGGCCCGAGTGAGGGCTGGGGGGACACGTGCGCCCGGAGTGCTCAGTGTCTATGGAAAAAATGGGGAAGGCAGGCGCTCTGCGTGTTTCCCGAAGCCTGCACCCCTTTTCCGATTCTGGTCAGCAACTCTGTCTCCAGGGCTGCCATGGGCACTGAGGGGGAACAGAAATCGCGTTTTATACAAATGCCTCGACATCCCTGGGCTTCCACTTCTTTGTCGCCAAAAGAAATATCGGGGTTTCGCCAGAGACAGGAAGCGAGAGTCCGGAACAGCAAATATTCGAGTCTGCTGAGGCCCGTTGTTGTGTGAGGGTGTGAAACATTAGGGCGGTATCGGGCCGCAGAGGCTTTGGGGGATAGTGTGTGGGGTTGATGGTGTGTTTGCTCGTTAGACCGTGAAGATGATGGCGGGGGCGGAGGAGGGAGAGAGATGCTCAAGCCTGAAGTCTCCAACCCACAGCGCTCAAAAGGAGCAGACGTTTTGTAACCATCCCTTTCCATACCGCCGTCTGCTGCAGCCCCGGAGACCATTCGCCCCTAGCTGGCAAGTCCTGAGGGCGAGGCGCTTGGCTGCGCCCGGGCCGGCTTCCTGGGAGCGGAGGCTGGTACCAACGCGCCCTGCCCCACCCAGCGGTGCGCACGGGCCCTCGAGCTGGGCGGTGGGCTTCCAGCGCTGGTTTAGCCACAAAAGGCGAGACGTACAGAGTCGACCTGAGGAGGCTGGGCAGGGGAGCGCCCAGTAGGGCGGTGCGTTCTAGTCTTCGGGTTGAACTGGCAAGAGGTGAGGTGGGAGCTGGGGAAACTAGGGCTCGTAGCTGCCCAGAGCCAGGCAAAAATAGCAGGGAGGGTGAGGCGCTCTGCTAACACTATCAATTATGCATCGTGTTGAACGTGGCTTCGGGGAGGAGGCGGCTAGCAGCGGGGGTGCGGGAAGGAAGAGTCCGCGCGACCCCTGCGGCGCGCAGCTCACCCGGTCCCGCGCGAGGACTCTGCACCACCGCCTGCCTTTGCAAAAAGAGTTTTAAGGCAAAGACACGCTTCCCCCGTTCAGGCGTGAGCTCTTCCTTCCCCCAAATTCCTCAAAGATGGTTTGTCTCACGTGTTGCGGGGCGTAAAAGAGGCTCGCATTCAATTAAGCAGCAAAGCTAACGGGCTCTGGCGGGACCCGCGCGTGAGGGTGAGTGCGCATGAATGTGTGTGCGTGCAGGAGGGGGGAATGCTGAGCGTCCCGGGTGAAGGTGTGCCTTTGAAAATGTGTGTGAACGTAGCGAGATCTCAACACATTGATGCGATTATTACATGATGATGGGTAATTCTAACATATGAAGAGCGACTGTGTGGAGGGTGCGAGGGTCTGTGTCTGTGCCAACGCGTTTGAATGGGGAGGGAGTCGTGTGATTAGGGATAGTGACAATGTCTGCAGATGTGTAAATGGGGGGGGGGGGACGGGGGG